TCTCTATATATATATATATATATATATATTTATATATATATATATTCTTTTGGGCGTTTACACGGTCATCCATCTTAGATGTCGTTATTGAAACTAACTCTCAAACTTAACCTAGTCATCAACCCAGGATGCCATTAGCCGAAGCTAATCATCAATCACAACCTGGTCATTCATCTTAGATGTCATTAATCAAAGCTAATCATCAAACACAACTCGACATCCATCTTAGATGCCATTAGAAGAAGCTAATAATCAAACACAACCCGGTCATCCTTCTAGGATGCTATTAGCTGAAGCTAATCATTAATCACAACCTGATCATATGTCTCGGTGCCATTAGCCATAGCTAGTCATCAATCACAACCCTTTCGTTCATTGTAGATGTCATTAGCCGAATTTAATCATCAATCACAACCCAGCCATCCGTCTCGGATGCCATTAGCCGAAGCTAATAACCAATTTAGTCAAACATTTCATAGATGTTTTATGTAATCACTATAAAATAATTATATATTCTTCGTAATGCTCATTAAAAAAAATTATAACAGTTTAACATTCATTACATTATAATAATAGATCTTTTGTAATACTCATTCAAACATGCTGCAATAGTTTAACATTCATCTAACACCACAATAGATCCTCTGAATTATTAATACAATCATTTCGTAACAATTTATCTGTAAACCCCAGGAAAAATAAATAAATAAATAAAAGTGAAGAAATTCATGCATATGGTTAAATAAAAACAAGAATTAAGAAAATTTTGAATATAAATTTCCGGGCAAAATAATTCAAGACATTATAATAAACCCGATACTATTAAAGGTTGGATTTAATTGAAGAGAATAATATACTTAAAGGAAAAAGAGGGCCTAAATGCAAATAAGGGAAATTATAGAGTATAAATACCCTCTCCTCACCAAAAAAAGAAATCTACAGGAACCATAAGGAAAGAAAATAGAGAGTTTTGTACCCATTCTTGCAAAATCAAAAGAGAAACACTAAAATTTCAAGAACCCACCCAAGATTAAAGGTATATAGATGGGATAAACACTTGTGTGCAAGGGATTAACAAGAAAATTAAACAAGAAGAAAAGAAAGGAGGGAGTTGAAAATCTTCTACTAGTTGAATATCAAATTCTTAATTCGTACCGGGTAAGGTGTTCTAAACATGATCTTAAAAATTCATTTTAAATTTGATTATGAATTGATGCCTTGATATTGAATTATAAGTTAGGGTTCTTAGACATGAATTGGGAAAAAAATATGTGTTGTTAAAATTAAGTTAATTCATGTGTGGTATGTAGTTTATGAAAGTATCGTGTGAAGGAAGGGGGTGACGACTCTGAACAGACTCGTCTCCTAACTTTCGATGAGATTTCAGGTAGGAGGATGAGGGAATTAAGATCGGGTTCCTTCATAGAAATTATAGATTTGAATGTTAGCTAACCAAGGAACTTGGTCTTACTTAATTTGGAGATGTAGAAAGTTATGGGTTACCAACCAAGACTAAGTCATGATTGATTATGTAGGGCAGTAGGATTGATTAGTTGATGAGCAATTTTGACTATCTTGGAGGCATAACTGGGTTCTCCTTCCTTAGAGAACTTGTAGCCTAGTGTCTTAGCTTTGTAACAAGATTAATCTCACTTAAAATGGAGTTTTAGAACTTTAGATATAGTTAAAAATCTGATGAGTGTTTAGAAGTAACAATTCACACGTCTAGACAGTAACAGTTGGACAATAACAGTTCAATGTCTAGACAGTAATGGTTGGACAGTAACAGTTCAAATGTCTTCTGTTAGGGGAGGTCATGAGACAAGCGAAGCAGGTATGTGATTTTCCTCCTATTTGCACTTATACAATTTAAAATTCTTCTAGTGAATGTAATTACAATAAATATCATGTTTAATGTAAATAAAGTCTAGCGTATTTTAGAACTTGAAACCAAATTGCTTTCCTCTAGAGTTGCTTGTATGCATAGATTTCGGCTCAGGCAATGGAAGTACTTTATAGATGCAGATGCAGCTAGGTTGAAAGTCCTCAAGCGAGATGGCACAAGTTTTAGTGAGATGGTTAAGAGAGAAATTTTAAAGCTTTGTACAGGATGTAGTAGATCTATTAGAAGAGAAAAGGTCACGCCATTTACTACTACCTAGAGAAGAAGATATAGGGTTACCTGTTATAGTGGTTGTATCAGGTACTCGACCTCCAAAAGGATAAGAAGGAGACACTTTATTAGCTGGGAGCAGGGTAGGAGATTTTGGGGAGCCATCACAATCTTCATCCGAGAAATTGAAATCTAGTTGTTCCTCTTCTAGAATCTCCTCATCATCTAAGCAATCTTCAACCAGGACCTCATCTAAAGACTTAGATCCAGAAGCAATTGCCATCTTAGGTATAGGTTGGAGATCATTAGGGCTCGCATCATTGGTTTGAGATAGAGGCATGGGGGAAGATCTGAGTGGGATTCACGAAGAACGGCACTAGGTTTGGTAGCAGGAGCAGCTTTGAGGGCTAAGACCACTGAACCATCATGATCATGATCATCGAGAACTGTAACAAGAGCATGTAGGTGTCATGTCTATGTGCTACTGTAGCAGTAGCCTTTCTTTTATTTCTGGCCATTTGAAAAGAACTGGAGGGAAAAGAGAAAAGAGGGGGAAATAGGGAAGAGATGAAAAACATAAAAGAGGGAACCGGGGAAGAGATGAAAATTAGAACAGGAAAGACAAAAGAAGCCAAGAGAAGATCAAGCACAAGAAAACCACCAGCAAACACAAGGGAATCAACTTCATGGAGGAGGAGAGTGTCTCTCTCTAAACCGGCGTGATTGAAAGCTCTCTTTTTTTTTATGAATTGCAAGAAATTTTATAAATCAAAATTAGACTAGCTGGAGAACCAGCAGGGCAGATATACACATGTACAAAGCGAAGTTAACAAGAACAGGCTCCCTGAAAGCATAAGAGAATAAACACAATCCAATGAAAACAAAACATCGGTTATCTTGGAAACCCAAAGACTATAGGTGCCTAGAATAACCAAGCAAAATAGACTCTAGCTACCATCACAAAAAGAACCCATACTCATCTACACAAAATAAGAATAGCAGCAGCACAAACTTGAATCCACTAACCACTTGCACAAGCAACCAAAAACCTGAAAAGACCTAGCAAATCAACAACGAAAAAGAAAACTCCCATGACCATTGTAGAACCCATCAACCAACATGCAAAAGGAAGTGATCCTTTTCATGGAAATGAAAGATTATATAAAAAAAGATTTGGAATCTCCTAAAAATTGTATCAAATCCCCTGGTTTTCCCATCAAAGACCCGCTTGCTTGTTTCTTTCCTCCTATATGAGATACACCGTGTTGCTTAAGGAAACTCTTCTCATCCGAGCCTTAAGGCTTTTCTTCTTAGAATGCAACCCTTGAAGAGCACTGTTTAGAGTAAACATACTCCAGCCAATCCTCAGCCAGAATTTTCTCTTAACCCACAAACGACATATCCAATCACACATAAAGAACAAATGGCCATGAGACTCCTCCTCATGCCTATAGAACACACAAGATGGATCAATAGGGATGAATCTCAATCTATCACGAGTTCAAAGCTTTCCCAAGACAGCTAACCTTAGGATGAAGTTGTATTTAGACAAAGACCACTATTCCTAAACCACTCTATCCCACGTGATTGGTGAACCCACCAGCGGGATGAAATTATATACATGGACCAGAAAGCGACCCTCACCATTAGACCAACTGTTTATCAAAGTTATGCTTGCCCCTGGGTTTCCACAATGCTGAGAGATAAGGTCCTTGACAGTAATAATAGACTTTCAAAATGGGGAGGAAGATTAGTGGGCATGGACCGTCCAAATAGTGCCACTGCTCAAATAGAAATGGTGCTCCCAACGAATCCAAACTAAGTGTTAGATTGTTCACCCACCAATAGGGAACTTGAGCTTAGAATCCAACCTAGTATGAGAGGAACCGTTGATTTGCACAATTGGTCATCATGCTTGGTTGAAAAGCTAGTGGCGCAAAACTACCATGCGTTGAATTATGATTGAATACTTCTAAGTTAGAAGCTGGGTTAGATGCGATGCATGTGCCTGCTGTCTAATTACCAACCTACAATAGGGGCCTCTTAGCCTCAAAGGCACATGTCGTTGGCTAAGCCCTCACGATGAAAGAGTCATGTAGGCCGACTTGAAGTACAATTCCTACCGAGCGGTGACTAGAATCCTTTGTAAAAGACTTAAATATATGAAGGGTTATTGTAAGTGGTAGAGTGGCCTTGCTGTCACGATCCACTGGGATTCAGCCCCATGTTGCTCTGATTCGTCCCCTCTAAGCCCCTCTAGGGGCTCAATGTTGTGGAGGTTGGGATGCGATTGGGCATCGTTCCTAGGAGCTCAGGGTTGGAATGTGCAGGGGTGGGAGAAAAAGGAGGGCAATGCACAAGGAACAGGAGTCTCAAACAAGGCAAGGGGTGGCAAGGCCCGTGCTGGTAAGACTCTCAGAGTTCGGGCCCAAAAGCAACGCGGACTAGGGCATGCCATAACTTGGCTTTGAAGATGTTTCCTACCAAGAACATGGCACCGAGACTCTCATAGTCCAAGGCTTAACAAAAAACGTTGTTACTTGAAGACATTGAGGCAGTGGCAGCCCAAGGGATAGTGTCAATAGAATTGATAGCAATGTTGAAATCAACAGTGTTGGCTTATTGGCTTGGTGGGCTGATGTGGTGGGAACTTGGGCAGCGGACAATGAAAGTAAGAGTTTTTCCGAGGCTGTCAAGAAAAATGCTCCTCGTGATGGCCGGGTAAGATTATCTGATGGACTACACGGCAATCATACCCGCGAAAGTCATTCAATTCTCTACCCTATCAACATAACTCTCGATGTACTATTTGCTTATTTAGAAGAAGAGATCTATGCTCCTCGGGATGGTCGGGTAAGATGACCCGGTGGCCCGCGCAGCTATTGTGCTCGCAACGAGTCATTCAATTCTCAACCCTATCAACATAACTCCTGATGTACTATTTGCTTTTTTGGAAGAAGAGATCTATCTCTTCATCCTCGATCAGCCAAAAACACTCCTCGGGATGGTCGGGTGAGATAACTTGACGAACAACGCAACCATCGTGCCTATAATGAGTCATTCAATTCTCTACCCTATCAACATAACACCGGATGTACTATTTGCTTATTCGAAAGAAGAGATTTATCTCTTCATCCTCGGCCAGCCAAAAATGCTCCTCAAGATGGTTAGGTGAGATAACCTAGCAAACCGCGCGACCATCGTGTCTACGATGAGTCATTCAATTCTCTACCCTATCAACATAACTCTCGATGTACTATATTTTCTTTTTCAGAAAAAGAGATCTCTTCCTCCTCAGTCAGCCAAAAATGCTCCCAAGGATGGCCAGGTGCGATAACTCAATAGATCGCGCGGCCCATGATGCATCATTCAAACACTACCCTATCAGCTATAAATATCAATGGTAGGATTAGAGGCCTACCATGGTGGTGATATTCAGAACACTGGGCAGAAATCACATTGTGTGAGCATCCACAAAGACCATCACAATGCTTTGTTTTCATTAAACAATTGAATTGCCCTTGTCCGTACCAGTTCTGAGTTGACTATTCGACACCCGGGGAAGGCCTTGAAGGGGCCATTCCCAGTTTATCCCTTGGTCGGCACGCGATGACTCACTCTTGCTGCTGGAGCAGCTCAAGCTTGCTAAGGTTACAAATCCATTTTACCGACTTCCCTTACCTATATTGTTCCATCAACTAGAGGGTGTTCACCTTGGAGACCTGATATGGTTATGAGTATGACTAGGCGTGGGAGGCACTCGATCCTCCGGATTTTCAAGGGCCATCGGGGGCGTGCTGGACACCACGTGACATG